TTTCTTTCTTCTTTGGTAAAGGGTTTGTTTTTTATTTTACTTTTTACTGACAATGTGAAACTCGCAAAAAATGTTCCTGTTAAATATACAGCTGTAAACTGTTCAAGGTAACCATAACAAACTAGGTGTTATTTATTAACGTATTATAAAATAATGTTTGATTCAGTATGTGCTTGTCTTATTTAAAATTGGAATGTGAGACATGTTGCTGTGACTTGTTCTTTTTCTCATTCACATTTGTAGATATTGTGTGAACTACAGTATATAATGATAATAATTAAAAGGATATTATGTGAATGCCACATTTTGAAATGATAAAACTATATTAGCTTTGTATCATGTTTGGATAATTCATCAATGTTCACAGTTTAAAACATTATTAAACATTACATAATTAGCAATGAGAAAGAATTTTACCTAACTTAATTTTGGGTTCTCCCATCTCTTTTCTGAATGCATTATAACTTTGGGCCCCTATTTATCTTAAAACCCTTAACATATGCAGACCAACAGGTTTTTGCATTCCTTTTAAATATCTGGTTGTGACAGAGCTTCTTATTGATCAAATTCACCATTTCATTCGTATTTATTGTAATATATTTTTGTTTTGTAAATATGTTACACACAACAAAATGTGATTGGTCTAAAATATTTGTAATGTATATTAAAAGGCTTAAAAATATTTGTAGAAATCTGTTATTTTTGTAGGAATATAATGACCAGCTTGAATTACACCTTCTGACATGATTTGCATTTTAAAAAAGTTATGGGGAAAGAATATGAAAAGCATATAACACATTTGTACCAAAAGGTAACCTGACAGGATTCCTAGATTTATACTCTAACCACCCCCACTGCCACCTTTGCCCCTATAGGCACACACAGTTTGATCATGCTACATAAATACTGTTTCAAAAAGAATCGGCATAGAAATCCTGGTCTCCTAGCTAGAACTTGTATACTGAGGCAGAGGGATTGATCCTGGGAGTTTTAATAAGTGTACCTTCCATCTATGAGGAGACATGGAAGGGTCCAGAAATGTAAACTAAACGAACAGGTAATTAAACGTGGTGAGACTATAATATGCTCAGTGTAGAGTTTTAAAAAAGTAAACAGAGCAGGAATCTGAAAGGTGGTGGTGGTGAGAATTTGTACTTACCAGGTAGCCATGGAAACCTGGGTTCCCACGAACCCCTTTATCTTTCAGTTTCGTTTAAAATTAAGAAAAAGCAGTCTAAGAGGGGCAGTAATATATTATGGTTAGAATGAGGGGGTAAGTGGCCCCCAACCCAGTCTCCTCCAAAGAGCTGTGTGAAGCAAGCAAGTCCTACACCCTGGAAAGGCCAGATGGTTTTGGTTTTTGTTTTTAAATATATCTTTATTGATTTCAGAGAGAGGAAAGGAGAGGGAGAGAGAAACATAAATGATGAGAGAGTCATTGTTCGAGCCTGCAACCCAGGCATGTGCCCTGACCAGGAATCGGACCCCGATCGCCTGGATCCTAGTTCGAGGCTCAACAGCTGAGCCACGCCCTGCCAGGCAAGGCCGGATGATTTTTAAGCTCTTCTGCATGTTGTCCCAACAAGACAAAACTTTCCTTTCCCTTGAGGAAAGTGAGTACAGAATGGCCCTCTGAGGAGGGCTCAGGAGCTAGGAGATGGGATCACGGTGCAAGGTCGGGGTTACTCTGAGAAAGTGGGTTTGCCAGGATGGCCCAGGGTATGGATCCGGAGGCTGGAGCCAAGCTCTGCCAGATGGGGGCGGGGCTCTGCGAGAGGGGGCGGAGTTACGCCCGG